TGGGCAGAGTTTGCCTGGTGGTTTTTCTCTTTCCCTGAAACATCCCCTCCAGCCCCCATACACGTCTGTGCACACACAGGCAGGGTTTCTGATGTCCAGCTGGCTTAGGTGGCCAGTTTGGCCCAGCCAGCTGGTGGGCACATCTGGTGCCAGCTTTCTCCTGACTTCCAGACGCTCAGAGCAGAAGGGCTGTCTGGTGCCACTTCCATACTCTCTGCCTCCAGGGAAGAGTGAGTTATTCTGACCCAGTGTACACGCTGCAGGCATATGTGAGAGGGTTCATCTCAATCCCCCAGAAATTTCCATGGACCTTCTTAGGCTGGTGCTTCAGTCTGGTGCTTGTGATGGCCGTAAGAAACAGAACTGACATGAAGGTTGTTTTATGGAATTTCTAGTTTATGGAATCCCAGCCTGGAGTTTTTTAGGGCTGTCCTAATTTCCTTCGGGCCCAGCAGGTAATAGCTATGTTGAGTAGAGCTGTGTTTGCCACCTGTCTTTGGAGCAGAATCTCGTCATACAGAAGTCAGAGACCTCATCCCTGACCAGGGATGATCCAATGAGGAAAAGAGGTGTGTGCCTGCGGCTCTTCTCCTCCTGGGGTCTTCGACTGGCCTGATGTCCTGAGATGTTTATGTGGGAGCAGGTGTCCTTCCTTGTATAGTTTCTCCAGTCAGGAAGCATTTCTGGGAAAAGGGGACAGGAAGGAGGCAGCCAGGTGAGGAAGAGGACGCTGTCCCAGGATTGGGAAATGACCCAGGCTGAGCTTTCTGCCTGGACTGATTCTGTAGGTGCAGTGGAGTCCGGGGGCCAGTGTGTCCTCTGAGAACGTAGGATGTTCGTTCTGGGGTGGGCTCTGCCGCCTGCCTTCCCTGAGACCCAAGCGAGCACCTGTAGCTGGGGCTTTCCCCTTCTGTCCTGCCCTCCTGTTCTCCCACTGAGAGAGCCAGCTGGGCTCTAAAGCAGCCCATCCTCCTATTGGGCACCTTGTCCCCTGGCCTCCCTGCCTCCCCCCAGACCAGCTCCCACAGTTGCTGTCCTGCGCCTGCACTTTCATTGGCTTGGGGGAGGGCTTGTGAGTGGGCAGCCTTATTCTTTTGAGAAAGGGTAATTCCCTGCGTGGGTGTGTGTGAGAGAGGTCAGAAAGACACATACATAGACAGGGAAGTCAAAGCAGAAAGGCAGTTTCCTTTTGATCTCTCGCTGGCTAGTGAGGCTGGCAGGCTCTCACTTGGAAATGTGAGTCAGGATTCCTGGGCTGTGTTCTTGTCTCCATGCCTGCCTGAGGGTCCTGGGAAAGGCTCTACTGCTGAACCGTCTATTATGGGGGGAATATATGTCCTGGACAGGAAGAAGCCTTGCTCACCACTGTTATTAACTAGTCCCACGAAAATACAAAATCACCCTCAGGGCCTTGCCAGGCCCTGGAGATCCAGCCCAGGACTTGGGATTTTCCAGCTCTCCTTTCTGTGGGGAGCACCTAGGATGGAGCGGCCCTGCCTGCCTTAGGCATTCCCCCAACCCCAGCCCCCTCAGGAATGTGCCACTTTTATCTCCTCCTTCACTCTGGCCAGGACCACGGAATTCTAAAGCTGAAGGGGGCATTGGGCGTTGGGTTAGACTGGGGGTGGAGGAAACCTGGGGGTATTATCTCTTTAAAGGAAATGCAAGCCCCTCATCCCTTGCCATTACCTAAACTGGTTTCTCCTGATCTGCTGGTGGTACTGAAGCAGCGCTGATGATTTCTTACTCTGTGGATTATGGTAAACTGGCTCATCCCCAGGGCCTGGGAGAGGGCTGAGGACTGACATTCGCAATGCTGTGTACTCACAGCATGGACACTCCCTGTCCCCATTCTGGGGTGAGCCCTGGATTTACTGAGTGGCTGGTGCAGCCCACACTCCTGAAACTGAAAGGGCATCAGAGCTTGGAGAAGAGTGTTTGCATTTACTTGGTCCCTCATCTGGACAGGAGGTGACACCCAGCGAGCAGCAAGGGAACCAGAGACTTCAGGGCCTCAGAAGTGAGTCACTCTCCAGAACTGTGGTCCAGGCCCAGAGGTTTTTTGATTTTTCTGCCGCCCTTAGTCAGGACACTTACTTCAGACAGGTATCTTCTGGATTTTATAATCTTCAAAGAAAAAGACAGCCTCGATCATCAACTAGAAGCCAACTGTAGCACCCAGCAGCTCTTAGCCCCAGAATGTCTGAGCTGAAAACTGAGATACTGTCACCTCGTTCGGGCTCCCCATTTTGCAGATGAGACAGGCACAGAGATGGCCTAAGACTTGCGGCCCAGGTTCCTAATTTAGGCTTTTAATAACGCTTGCCCTCGTGGTGTTGGCGATTCTGGCTGTTCTTCCTTTGGAGAAAGAGAAATTGGCCCATCTTCTCCCAGACGGGGCCCGGTGTGTGGTGTACAGAGGACTGTTATTTATTTGGCCTGCTCTTAATGACAGCTCCTCACCTACCTGCCCAATCCTAGGAGGAGCCCTGGGCTGGAATTTCCTGTTTCTTGAGGGCTCCTGGGGGCAGCCCCAGCAGGTCGGCTCCCCTGCGCCGCCGTTCCCTGGTGTTCCAGGCCAGACTTGCCGCCTCTCTCTCCTGGCGGGGCTGGCTCCCGGCCTCTCCAGGTCTGGGCTTGCCGGCTGCGAGGTGGAGGAGTTGAGGGACTCGGTCGGCCGATACCAGGTGCCCAGAGGCCGGAGGTCCGTGCGCTCCGGCCGCGGCCCCGGCCCGGGCCCAGCCCCGCGCCCCTCGCCATGGGCCTGGCCCTCGCCCGCGGGCCCTGAGCATGGAGCCGGGCGGGCCGCCGGGGGACGGCTGC